TGTGTGTGTGTCTGTGTGTCTGTGTGTGTGTCTGTGTGCGTGTGTGCTAATTCCTCCTCCTATAGATGACAGAGATCAGCTGGGCAGTGGCGGTGCCCGCCTGTGATCCCTGCCCTGGGGAGGCAGAGGTGTGGGAGCTCTGTGAGTTTGAGGCCAGCCTGGGCTGCAGACTGAACTGTAGGGCCAGGGCTGCACAGGGAAAGTGTGTCCCAAAACAAACAAACAAACGAAAGTTGTAAATGACAGGGACTGCATTAGAGTGGCGTCCTTTACCTCATCTGTGTCATCAGTGATCGTGGCTTTGCGCCTGTGGCCCCAGAACTGGGAGGAGCAGGTGGGAGGATGGTGGGTTCCGTCTTCAGCCTCTCACACACTGTGGGTGTTCAGGAGTCGGGGGAGCAGGAGGCATGGAAGTTAGTAATCATCCTTGACCACGTACTGAGTTCAAAGCCAGCCGGGGCTGCAGGACCGCTGTCCCGGGCTGGCAAGGTGGCCCCCACCAAGCCTGACAGCCTGGGTTCAGTCCCTGGAACCCCGATGGTGGAAGGACAGACCCAGATCCCGCAGGTTGTCCTCTGACCTCTGCGAGAGCCACAGCACGTGTGCACAGTACAAATGAATAATTAGATACTTTGAAAGAAAAGTTAAAAAAATTATTCTGTCTCCGAACACAGTCACACTCAGCGTCGACCAGCCTTCGGGGGAGGGGCGGCACAGCAGAGAGCAGGGCTGCGTGTGCCACTTCCGGGTGGTGAGGCAGGGGCTGCCCCCAGTGGCACCGTGCGGGCATTTGGTGGGAGTCACAGGGCCTGCTGCTGTGGGCCGTCAGGTGCCCCCCCCCCCCAGCAGGGAGAGGTGGGCTCTGTGCTGAGGAAGACTGAGGACCTGACATCCAGGGGGTGGCCGTGCCCCAGGCCGGCGGGGACCGGGTATCTCTTGGCAGAAAGGAGCTGCTGAGTCAGGTGTAGGAGCTGGCGGTGGGGATGCTGCTTCAGGGCTTTGGCCAGGGCCAGGGCTCAGGCCCAGGGATGTTAGCAGCTGCAGGAGAGAGCTGAGGTCTGGGTGAGCTCCAGCAGGGTTAGTGGCTGCCTGGCCCCCAGCCCTCCCCTACCCTCCCCAGCCCTCCCCCGCCCTCCTCCATCCTCCCCAACCCTCCCTCACCCTCCCCAGCCCTCCCCCGCCCTCCCCCACCCTCCCCCGCCCTCCCCCGCCCTCCCCAACCCTCCCTCACCCTCCCCAGCCCTCCCCTACCCACCCCTGCCCTCCTCCATCCTCCTCAACCCTCCCCCACCTTCCCCAGCCCTCCCCTGCCCTTTCTGGCCCTCCTGAGCCTATGCCTTTATAGAAACATGTAGTGGCTTGTTTTTAGCTCCTATCAGAGTGTGTGTGTGTGTGTGTGTGTGTGTGTGTGTGTGTGTGCGCGCGCGCGCGCGCGCGCGCGCGCACGCGCTCAGGTGCGTGGGTGACGGTGCCCATAGTTACACACATGACTGTGTCTGGAGGCCAGAGGTCACTACCAGTGTGTCACAGAGGCAGGCACACGGAGTGTTTTACGTTATTAATGCCTGTGTGGGCGCACGTAAGCCATTCTCGTGGCGGTCAGAGGCCAGCCTGGGGGTCTCTCCTTCCCTCCTCAGGCAGGGCAGGAGCCGTTCACCCTTGCAGTCCTGACACTCCAGAGGCTGAGGCAGGAGGATTGCTGTGAGCTTGAGGCCACCCTGGGCTAGAGTGAGGGGCTGCTTCTAAAACAAGGGCGGGGCCGAGGGTGTGCCTGGCAGGGAGCTTCCAGCCACAGCAGATCAACCGTCAGACAGGAGGGGGGCGGTCGAGATCGCCTTCAGCTACTTACAGGGAGGGTTTAAGGCAGGTCTGGGCTGAAGCCAGGCGGTGGTGGCGCCCACCCGTGATCCCAGCACTGGGAGGCAGAGGCAGGCCGATCTCTGAGTTCCAGGCCTACAGAGTGCGTTCCAGGACAGCCAGGGCTACACAGAGAGACCCTGTCTGAAAAGCAAGACAAGCAAAGACAGCAAACAGAAGTGCTTGGGCTGTAAGCTCACAGCCTAGTGAGTCCTGGCACACGGGGACCCGCCTCCTCCCCAGCCTTCCTGGTCAGTGCTCCTCCCCGGCTTTCCTGGTCAGTGCTCCCGGAGGGCCCTGAGCAGTCTGCCTGTCTGGAGAACAGCTTTCGGGCCTTCCTCCCGCCTTCCACGGCGGGCCCGAGCCTGAGCTCAGGTCGGCAGCATCTCCGCGGCCAGCCTTCCCACCTGCTCACCGTTGCTCCAGCTCCAGCTGTAGCCCAGGCTAGCTCCGACCCACAGGGTAGCAGAAGGGGCCTCCCGGCCCTGACCATGAGCAGACTGGCTCTCCGGCTTTGAGCTCGCGTGTTGGAGTCCCAGCTGCACGCTTGTGTTTGTGCCCAGCCACCGTCACTCGGCCTGCAAGACTCAGCGGCGCGGGTGACGGGTTTGTCCACGTTCGCGCATGTAGCGTGCTCCGTGCAGGGACCTGCCACACTTTGGTAATCTGGTCCACAGATAAGCTATCAGATTCCTTCCAGCGAAAAACACTCGGCCTGGACATCAGGGCCTGGGCCCTCGGCAGCAAGTTATTCTTTTTCCCATGAGGGTTGCACGTGTATGTGTGTGTGTGTACGTGTGTGGACTGTATGTGTGTGTGTGTGTTTTGCACATGTGTGTGTGTGTGTTTCTGGGAATGGAGCCCGGGGCCATGCGAGGCTGGCACTCGCCCGCCGAGGCGCAGGCTCGGAGCCGCCTCTGCTGCCGGCTCTGGGCCCAGGCTGGCCAGTCCTCGGCTCTCCCTGAAGTCCTGTTTACACTCTCGCGTGCCCATGGCCTGGCTTGGCTTTTTCTTTTTAGTTGTGTGCACTGTCACAGGCTTTGGGTCCCCTGGCGCTGGAGGTGCGGGCAGTTGTGAGCGGGAGTGATGGCCTCTGCAGGGCAGGTCTTGCTCCTCCTGCCCGCACCCACCAGCTCTCGGATTAGGGTCTAACACACGAGCGGGCGGGGTTTCGCCTCAGTTTCCCAGACTCCGAGGTTCTTCCGCCTTCACAGCCAAGCGCCACGGGGCTGGCCGTCGCTGACTTTGGAGGGGCTTGTGGGTAAGCGGGCACGCTAGTGGTAAGGTCTGGGGCTCGGAGCGCGTGCACGTTCATGGGCAGTTGGACACGGCTGAGGCGCAGGGGGCTGGCAGTGCATGGCACACCTGGCCTGGCTCCAGGCAAGCCCAGGAAGAGTGGGAGCCGGGACATGGTGGGTGCAGGCCCCGGGCTGCTGAGGATGAGGCCGGGGGCCGAGGGCCCGAGGGGTCAGGTTAGGCCCAGGGCCCTGGTTCAGGACCACTGGGGTGCGGTCGGCGTGGGGTTCGGTCTGGGGCTCCCGCAGCCTCGGCTCCCCCGGGGTGAGGTGGACCCTTGGCACTGGGGGCTCTGTGCTGGGGGGTGGCAGCCGAGGGCCTGCCATGCCAGGGCTCGCACTCGGAGGCCCCGTTCCCCTGGCGCCTGGCTCACTGCCCCCGCCTTCCTTGGCATCTGGAAACGACAGAGCGTGTGTAGAACTGCACTGAAGAGCAGGGTCGGTCGGATGGCCTCGGCTGGAGAGGGGGTGGGGCTGCCAGGGTTGTGACATCAGGCAAGGTGGGGCGTTGTGTGGGGACGTGGGGACAGGGAAAGTGATGGGCCAGAGGGTGGTTGGACGAGGCCCGAGAGCCTGCAGCTCCCAGCGCGTCTCTCTCGCCCTGCTCAGGGTGGAAAACGTGGCTCACCGAAACCGGGGGCGGGGTGGGGTGCAGGACCGGAGCCTGGGCCGTCTACTGGGCTGAGGCTGGCTGGTGCTGGGAGCTCCTGCAGGGAGCTGCCTCCTCCTCCAGACCGGTCCTTCTTGTGACCTAGCCCGTCCCCCTGTCATGGAGGCGACCTCCCCCTGCCACCTTTTGGAGTCCTCTCCGTGAGTTGTCTGAAGAGGAGGCGTGGGGCAGAGGGCTGGGAACGACGAGGTGGGGTGGGGCTGGCGCGAGGACCTCGGGGCCTCCCGCTTCCTCTCCATCACCCCATTTTCTTTCCTTTCTGTCCCCAGAAATAAGAATGTCTAAACCCCTGGAGGCCGAGAAGCAAAGCCTGGACTCCCCGTCAGAGCACACAGGTGAGTGAGCCCGGGAGAGGAGGGCAGCTGGCCTCGGGGGCGTGCGGGCAGCCGGAGCGCCTGGCAGCATGCCCCTTCTCTCTTTCCAGACGCGGAAAGAAATGGACCCGACGTCAACCATCAGGTCAGGCCCGCTGGAGCCGGGGCAGGGAGGGGCAGCGCGGCCGGGCAGGGCCGTGCCCAGACTTTGCAGCCTTTCCCATGGCCTCGCCCGCTCTCTCTCCACAGAACCCGCAGAATAAGGTTTCCCCGTTCTCTGTGTCCCCGACTGGCCCCAGCACCAAGGTAGGCACCGTGCATTCATCTGGTGGGGGGGGGGGGGGGGAGGAAGGCGTCGTCAGCACCTCCGAGGACCGTCCTGCTCCGGTACCAGTGACAAGGTTCCTCCTGCCCCTTCTCACCCTCGGGCTGCTGCCCCAGGCCTGTGACTCACCCAGCTCCTTCCCCTTCCCCAGGGGGTGGGGGTGGCCAGGGAAATCCCCCCCCAGAGCCCCAGGGCATCACAACAGGAAGCCAGGGCTCCGCCCCCGTCCCGACTTCCCTGGCCAAAGGGCTCAAAGCAACCCTGTACCCCGAAATACACACACTCTCACAGACACAGGCATACATACAGACACACACACACATACTCACACACACACACACACACACTCACACAGACACAGGCATACATACACACACACACACAGACACACACACTCACACACAGACACAGACACACACACACACACAGACACAGGCATACATACACACACACAGACACACTCACACACAGACACACACACTCACACACAGACACAGGCATACAGACACACACACACACACAGACACAGGCATACAGACACACACACACAGACACACACACACA